CCCCCCCTACCTCTGCCTCTCAGTTGTCTCCTCAGAGATCCAGAGAAACTTTCTCTGCACCCCACAACTCACCGGGTTCACGTAGGGAGCTTGGGTGTTGAAGAAAGCCATCTCTCCTCTCTCGGGAATCACCACTCTCTTCCTCACTCGCTGACAGACCTCTGCGCAGGGCGCAGGGCGCAGGGCGCAGGGCGGGACTGGGAGAGGAAACAGAAACCAAAGCCCCTTGGCTCTTACTCAAGGGGAGGAGCCAGGAGTCGGCGGCTGCAGGAAGTGTCTGGAGAAAAAAAAAGTCAGGGGCAAGGGGGGGAGTCGGGGAAGATACTGAGTGCTCCCTGCTCTGACACTTTGCCCTCCCCTCTCCTGTGCTCAGCCAGAGAGCCAGTCACATCGGTTTCTGAAGCTTCAAAGTGATGTTTCTCGACAGCCTTGGCCAGAGGATGTGCCTGTGCTTCTGAGCCTTTCATCACCACATGCAGCAAAGCTCAGGCTTCACTTTGCCTGTGTGCGTGCGGGGAGCCGTGGGAACGTCCTACTCAGCCCATTGTATGTGCAGGGAAAGTGATGCTGAGAAGGTCTAAGGAGCCTGAGCAAGGTTGCTCAACTCTTACGGGCAGAAGTATTTCTCCCTTGTGTAAAAGCTTAACAATGCAGGAAGAACTATTTTGCAAGAAAAACATCACCACTGTGATTGTTAATGTGGGATTTGGGGGCTGCCCTGGGAGCATCAGTTCCATCTGCCTGTGAGTTTATGTTTGTTCTCTTTTCTTTCTTGTCTCTCTCCTCCTTTCCTCTGTTTTGGGGCGAGAAGAGGAAAAGTAACTGATACAGTGGAATATCCCAAGTGGCAAGGAAGAAGACCCAAGGAAATACTTGAAATAGTTTTCAAACTAGGCATGATGGCACATCATGCAATCCCAGTATGCCTTGAGAAATATATGCACCACTCCACCAACTGAACTACATCACTAGTCTTCCCCAGCCCCAAACACAAACAAAGAAAGAAAAACCCCTGCTCTTGTAGTTTAGGTTATGAATTAGGGGAAATAATTGGATGAAGCAAAGAACTCAGGCTAGATTTGTCAGGAGGAGGAGAGCCAGGACAACAGGTTTACCTGGAGTCATTCAGGCCCCTGCCATTGTACATCTACTAACTAGGAGGTTGCCTAGAAGCAAGCTTGTGGTGAGCAGCTATGTCATTATTCCCATAGAAGCATGGGCTGCAAAATGATTCCCACTGCATCATTGTTGGTAAGCATATAGCCCCTCCCTCCCCCATGGGAGCTGATGTGGTTTGGGGACTAGTCCTCTTAGGTGAATTGGTGTGACTTAGCAAAAGACTTGTGACTTGTGACAAGATTTGATCTCTTGTCTGTATTTCTGCCTTCTGCCTCCAACCATAGGGCAATAGAGTCAGAAAGTCTTTATGGGATGGTATCTTACTTTGTGCTTCCCAGCCTCCAGGATAGTGAGAAAGAAACATGCCTTCTTTATGAACTAATTAGCCTGCAACATTCTATTACAGTGCCATGAAATGGCCCTCCAGGTACCAAAGGGGAATCTGGTTATTTGCCAGGCTGTCACTTGTCTGTGGCACTCTTGTTTCTTGTGCTCAGTTTAGACAAACCAAAATTTGCAAAGACTAATTGTTGGAGGCCATAAGCCTTGTATCTTTGTCCTAGTTATAAATTCCTCACTCAACCAGAACAGACTGTATCTAAAGAGCAGATTGACTAACCTGTTGGAGCAAAGCGAGAGGGACATTCTTCACAGTCCTTTGGATATCATGGAAACCAAGGATACTTTTGTCATGGTAGGTACCTACCAACAGGTAGGGATTTGGAGCAACTGGAACCCCTGTTCTCTGCAGCTGGGATGGAAAAGAACCAGTGCAGGACTGTTGCTTCAGACATCTGCTTCTCTTATGTCCCAGCCATTCCATGGCTGTGCATTTCCCCCCGGGGAAAACCATGGATGCCTGTATAGAACAGCTCTGTGCATCACAGCTCCAAACTGGAAGCAATGCACAGGGCATGAGAGAGACATCAGGGTATTCATGCATCTGAAGAGCCCTTAGCTCCATGGAGGAACTAGGGAACAGGGGATACACCCAGACAAGGCTGCCCTGTGGCAGTTCTACGCTTGTCAAATTCAACAGGTTAGTCTTGGGGTTACTGCCTGGGAGAGGCAAGGTTTTCTGATGGCATTAAATGCTCCCAATCTTAGACTGGGTGGTGGTCCCTGCTAATCACACAAAATTCTTCTATTGAACCAACATCTGTATGTTTCCCTCTCGATATACTATCTCAATAAGCCACAGCTAAAAGGAAAAATCTCCTAGAGCCCTGGAGGACACAGGCCCAGCTGAGCACAGGAAAACAAGCCCCTAGGGTGGTATTTGATCTGGAGGTGAGTCACAGTCAGCTGTCTCACTAATGTGTCAGTCCCAGAGGAGGGACCCAGGGCCCTCTGCCCCATAGGGAGGGCCCCCTGCAACTCCATAGGCTAATGTATTTTATTTTATTTAGTTTTTCAAGACAGGGTTTCTCTGTGTAACTTGCTGTCCTGGAACTTGCTTTGTAGACCACGCTGGCCTTGAACTCACAGAACAGACCCACCTCCCGAGTGCTGGGATTAAAGACATGTGTCACCACCTCCTGGCTAGGCTAATGTATGTTTACAGTAATCATTGCAGCAGAGAAATATATTCAAGGCATTGTGCCAGTCTGCAGAGAATTCTGCTTTTATAACACACAAAAAGCTACCTTCTATGAGCTGGTAAGATGGCTCAGTGGGTAAGAGCACTTGCTGTGGATATCATGATAACCTGAGTTTTATCCTCAGAATGAAAGATGGAAGAGGAGTAGCCAGGTGGCTGTGGTGCTGGCACATGCCTCTAATCCCAGCACTTGGGAGGCAGAGGCAGGCGGATCTCTGTGATTTCAGTTCTAGGATAGCTAAGATTACACAGTCAAGAAATCCTGTCTTGGAAAAAAAAAAAAAAGCAAGAAAGAAAGATGGAAGGTAAGAACTGACACCCCCAAACTGCATTCTATACAACAAGGTACACTATTTACAGTATGCCATATGCATATGTAAATAACATTTTCTGGGTTTTTTTTGTGTGTAGTATGTGTGTACATATCTGTGTATGCTCACACATGTGTGCATGTATGTGGAGGCCAGAGGTTAATAAAAGGTGTTTTCCTCAGTTGCTCTCTCACCTCGGTTTCTTTGAGACAGTTCGGAAAGCTCACAGAAGTGGAGCTCACTGTTTGGGCCAGGTGTCCAGGCCTCAGTCTCCAGGAATCTGTTCCCCCACACCTCCCCCCATCTCTTCCTCTCCAGTTCTGGGTGTACAGATGTGTGCTGACTTTTTACATAGGTGCTGGGACCCAAACTCAGATTCTTATGCTTGCACAGTGGCTGAGCCCTCTCTCTAGTTACTCTTCTGATTTAAAAAGTGAACCAAATGAATTTATTTTATTATTTTATTTATGTGTATATGTGTATGGGGTGGAGGAGCAGAGCATGTATATGAACATTTGGGTATCTCAGGCCAAAAGAGGTTTTTGGATTCCCTGGAGTCGGAGTTACAGGTGGTTGTGAACCACCCCACATGGGAACTGAACTCTGGTCCTCTGGAAGAGCAGCAAGTGTCCTTAACTGCTGAGCCATCTTTCCAGCTCCTACTTTTCTGCTTTCTTGAGAGAGGGTCTCCCTGTAAAGTCCTAGATAGCCTGGAACTCATGATGTAGATCAGGCTAACCTTAAACTTCTGAAATTTTTTTCCCACTTTCCCTTGCTGTGACTGGTGTAATAAAAAGCTGACTGGCCAATCGCTAGGCAGGAGGTATAGGTGGAATTTTCTGGGAGAGAAAGGAAGAGGAGGAGGAATCACGGGATGAGGGAGAGATGTCAGGAGACACGGAGAGGAAACAGGAGGTGAAGATGGAAGAGAGGGAATGTCACGGAAACTGTAGATTAATACAAATGAGTTAATTTAAGTTATAAGACCTAGTTAGGAACAACCTTAAGTTATAGGCTGAGCTTTCATAATTAATAAGAAGTCTCAGCATCAGTATTTGGGGCTGGTGGTGGAAAAGAAAGTCCGTCTACACGTGTATCACCACACCCAGCCTACATACAGCATTTTAAATCACCAACCAAGTGCATCTTGGGGCTTTGTTCACTTGGAAGTGCCAAATGACCAGAGAATCTACATCTAAGCAAGGCATTTTTGTGTGTGATGGTGCTGAGACTGAGCGCTGAGCCTTGTGCAAGCTAGGTATGTCCCCAGGCCCAGGGAATCTACATCTAAAGCATCACTCTGCATTTTAGAGCATTTGGGGGCAGCAAAAATTCAGCACTAAAATTTTAGGCTGCAGATTCAGTGTCCACTACTACCGTTTGGCCTGTCCTTGTCACCATGGTGCCCTTCGAGTGGTGTGCAGTGCTTCTGTAAAATGACATCTTTTACAGCTTTGAGAACATGCATACACCCTGATGGCTTCATGGATGTCCCAAATGGAATACAAAGATGTGAATCTCTTGATTGCATGATTTTCTGGGTCAATCAAGGAACTAACCATTATCACAGATGTCACCTCAGGCCACTCACAAACACAAAGACAAAGGGCCTCCTTGCTTTTTGATGAACAAGAAAGCTGTTTCATTATGTTAAAAGCTGCCTGTATAAAGGGGGGAGAAAGTTCAATGGTTATTAAGGACAATGGAATAGAAAGAGAGATTTTACATTATTATTTCTTACCGTGATATTTTTAGGTTTTAAATTTCTATTTTGACATGTGTTATTTACCTTGGATTTATAATGAAAATAATTTAAGCACCATGAGACCACTAGTCACCTAAGAAAGGAGCTAGAATCCTGAGTCTCCCCCACCTGGTCTAGAAATGGAAACTGAAGGGTCCAGAAATAGAAATACAGAAATAAAAGATCCAGAAATAGGAATATAGAAATATGAAAATTAAATTTATAGATTAAAGGAAATAGGAGCTGACAGTCACCAGCCCTTTCAGCAGCTAGGGATTAACTCTTAACAATGGCTCTCTGTGACCAAAGGTTAGCATTTTACAATGGCTGTCTACAGCTAAGGGTTAGCTTTTAGATAAATCCCCTGCCACTTACAACCGACAACTGCCATGAACTAAAATTAATTTTTAATTAACTTTTAATGATTCATACGTGACTCCTGGTATACCTCCCACCCTATAA